GGAGTGCAGAGTGCTGGCAGAGATCTTCAAAGGTCGATAAGCCTTCAAACTTATCTGAGCCTCATCTTGGAGGCCCTCCTCATTGCAATAACAACACTTAAGCAATGCAAAATTCACCAGCCTGCTGCGTTTCGACATTTCAAAACCCCCATCCCAGTGAGAGTAGAGCTGCTCTCTCTTCCCCAGTTGTGGGACTCAGGTGCACCTCTTTGACAGGGACAGGAAAAGCAGGGGATGAAGATGAGGGAGGAGGAAAGGCCCCGGTTTTCACTGGTCAGAGGACTAATTAGAAAATACAGGGCTCCCCTTGGTACTTTTTTACCTAAATGGGAAGCGGCTGCAGACAATTTTAGCACAGGGGTGGTAGAGAGAGCAGGTGGGAGGAGTTTGAACAGCCAGGGCAGGAGAGAGAAAGGAGATACGCGGCTGGCCATCTGGTAACACCGCCTTGCCAAAAAGACAGAGGCTGAGCTGCTCCTCCTACGAGCAGAAGTAAAACGGGGCATTTCTTTTGGACTTGCTTCAGATTTCACCCAATCTGTGTAACGTAATCCCTCCATCAGAGGGATGTGCCTAGAACTGCTCAGGAACCTCCACTCGCCCGCAGCGCCGTGACGGCACGTCTGCAGTAGCCGGCACAGAACCGGGAGGGAGAGCCCAGCATACGGGAGGGGAGGGCTTAGGAGGAATCCAGGCGCTGCTTGGGGTGCAGAGGTGGAAGCAGGAGCCGCAGATGTGAGCAGATGGGCAGCGCCTGCTGTCTCTCACCCCTTCACGGAGAGACAGTTCAGACGGACAAATGCCTCGTGCTGTTCAACAGCGTGCGGTGCAAAACCAACCTGGAGTCCTTGCTGTGCCTCTGAGGTCACGTCCCTGCCTCGGCTCCTGCCTGGCCCTTCCCAACTCCAACCTCCAGAGCTGGGTGAAAACAGTTCACTTTCCATCTTTGAACCTTTATTACTACGGAATATCCAAAACAACAAAACCAACAACACAGTTACAAAAGGAGTTCACGGAGAAATGTGAAGCAGCCTGTGTTTGAAATGCTCTGTGTCACCGTACTGAGTCAAATATAAAACAATGCATATTTATACATATATAAAATATAAAAGGATCAATACATCAGAAATGTATAAACAAGGGCTATGGCGGCCTTCGTGGTATTTACAATCAGAGATACGGCAGGGTGGGGGGCACGGGAGCAGGCAGTGTCCGTTCAAAGGTGAGTTTTAAATGCATCTGTGAAAGTCTCTGTGGACAGAGAGCAGCCCAGAGCTGGGCTCAGCCCTGCTGGAAATGGTGTGAAGGCTCTGCATGACTGGTGGTTTGGGCGAACGCCAAGGCCTAGGGCTGGATCAGTCACGGGCCAAGGCAAACAGCGAGCGGAGGCAGTCCCCTGCCTCGGCCCAGGCTCTCACAGCCAGGTTAGTGTAGCTGCGCGTTCCCAGCTGTGAAACAGGAGGTCAGGCCCATTGCCAGAAGGGAATAAAATAAAATAAAAAATAATAATAATAAACTCAACAGAGAGAAGTTCCACGTTCACATCAATAACAGATCTTCCAAGCAGTCTCCGGCCCAGCGCCGCAGGGCCGAGGCCCTCCCCAGAGGCACTGTATTCAAGTAAAGGCAACAAGTTGAGGCACTAGGCTGAGTTCTGTTGGGTCAAACTTGCCGGCTTTGAGAGAAGTCCCAGTAAGTGCTGGCTGCGGCTCTTTATAGCTCCTTGAGGATGATCTGGAACTTGTCCTCTGCTTCCACCACATCCAGGAGAAAGGCCATGTGGTTGCTGTAGTGCTGGATGATGTTGTTGTCCATGTTCACCAGGATCCTACGGGAGAGGAAGAACGGCTGAGTCAGATGCAGCACATCAAAAGGTTTGCAGAGCAGCTTTGTCGCGAGGGCTGGACACCACCGCACACTCACAAACCGGGAATAATATCACGGCGAAGCCTCGTGGCACAGAGGTGGCCCTCTCCAAAATGTCTCCACACAAAATTCCCACTAAAGATTGCCTTTGCTGCCCTGTTATTGATCAGCCTCACATTATCACAGCCGTACTCCTCACTGCCTGCCAGCCGGGTGAGTTGGCCGCTGCCAGGCTGCTCCAGGAGCCCCAGCCCCATGCCCCGGGCGCCCCAGCCCCGGGCCGGCAGCAGAAGGCACTGCAGCGGCCACCTCACCCGACTGGAGGGGCTCAGCCATGATTAATTAATTAAAGCCACGATACAACACAAAGGAACATCCTGCAGAGCTTTTTGCAATTCTACCCTCAACATGCCTAGACCCAGCGTCGCTACACAGGCAAATTAATCTGGATTACAGCAGGGTGTGAATTTAGAGCAGAATTGCTCGCTCCTCGCTTCTTGCGCGGCCACCTCACCCGACTGGAGGGGCTCAGCCATGATTAATTAATTAAAGCCACGATACAACACAAAGGAACATCCTGCAGAGCTTTTTGCAATTCTACCCTCAACATGCCTAGACCCAGCGTCGCTACACAGGCAAATTAATCTGGATTACAGCAGGGTGTGAATTTAGAGCAGAATTGCTCGCTCCTCGCTTCTTGCCTAGGTGCTTTTAGGGGTGCATTATTCTGAACAAGCTGAGACTGCCTTGGGAGGAGATGGAAGTGGTTTGGAATAGGATGCCTTTCTCCTCTCCAGAGCGACCTCCCAAGCAGACGTGCCCTGAGCATTGCCGGGGAGCCCTTTCTGCGTGGAGCACACACGGGCAGGCCGAACGTACGCAGCCAGCTGGGCCAGCTGGTGGCAAATTCCTCCCGGTGCTCAAGGGCACACCTCCAGCCCTGCTGCCGATCCCACAGCTTCTCTGACCTGGAATGAATTACATGGAGACACGGGGAGAAGGAAACATTTCAACAGCTGATTTAAACCTGAGGCTGTGGTTCTGTGCCAGGCAAGAGCCCCTCGTTATTGTAATGGCAGTAACGGGGCAACTTTGCATCACCCCACCGTGCTCCCATAAATCAGATGTGAAATTTGTAACTGTTTTGAGGAAACAAAGAGAACAAAT